GCTATCGTTTGTGGCCAGATCGCTTCTGAAAAATAGCTGTATTGCTCAATGGGCCTTACCTGGTAAAATAAAAAACACGATTTTAGTTTAGTGTAGTAAGGTACACGTTTACAGTGTATGTAGGTTAATCTTAGATTACACTACTACACACGTACGTTAATCGGTGTACGTGGTAATGATGCAGACTTTGTTCCGCCCTGTAATTGTTGAGTAATGCGGTCAAGGAATTGGCGTATATTAGTGGTTGACATGTGCTTAGATATATGAATCACCACGTATATTTCATATATAAGTGTGTGGAGGTGGCTGGGTGTGTTAGAATGCTAATCCTGTGTAAGGACAGTGATCCCGCACATCTGCGAGCCTGGGTTCAAATCCAGTTTCATCCCAGTTACTGATGACTGTACATTGATGAAAAAATAATAGGCTTTACCCGTCCCGGCAAGAAAACGGGTGGTGTTAAGATGTTCAAACATCAAACAGACACCCATCACAAGATATCAAGTCTGCATCAACCACGCGTCCTCGTTGTAAAATATATAAACAGACAAGCTTTGACAACAATGTTACTTATGCATTGTCATTACAACTGATTGGCCTACACCAGCGGCGGTCCGTTTTTTTAAATCCTTTATATTAAGTTCGCTTGCTTGCTTGCTTGCGTGCTTGCGTGCTTGCTTGCGTGCTTACTTTCGACCGTGCAAATCTTTCGGTCGTTTTTTTAACCCACTTCCCGTGATCCAATCGAGCTGATATTTTCCACACAGACTCGTTGTGCGTGACAATTAATTTTCGTGAAAATTTTTTCCAAAATTTTACACTGTTTAGGGAATTTTTTTAATATATTTAATAACCAATTGCTTAATGCTGGCAGACAATCATCTGACCCATAGGTGGCAGCCATCTCAAGCCAGAGGACGAGAGGTTTTTAGCCGCCACGCATATAAAGGATTTATAGTGAAAAACTTTGTTTTTACGGGTTAATTTTTTAACACCTCGGCCTTCAATGCGATTCTCCTGCAATTAAACCGCCTTCGAATAACCTCACCATGACACGAGGGCTATAGTGTATTGTCATTCGACGTAACCACCCCATATTCACAGTGACAGTAACCTTTATCGAGTGTAATGAAGTGATTTAACACGAGGCTCAACACCTATGAGAGTTACAATACACTAATTGCGGAGACGTGAATACATGGTGACTGAAACCATCAAGGATGTACCACTATTACGCAGTATGACAGGATCCTGCATCACAAATAGACATCGCATAGCCCAAATTAATGTCATTACCAAACAAACTCACAACAACCAGTCACATTTACTCATACGATCACCAAGCAAGCAAAAATGCCGTAAAACACAAATAACACAATCAGGATTCAACAGGCTTCCCCACAGAAAAATAAAACCAAAAAAATCTAAAGCACTACATCTAAACGTAACGAAAGAAAGTTTAATTAATCTTAGATGATGCTACGTTACGTGCTAGCTAGTTTTACTTCAGTTAGCTAACTGGCCCACCGATCACGCCACACGAGAAATGCTAGCGTAGGCGGCTAGGCCAGCTAGAAGGCTCCGGCGTGTCAAAGAATACGCCCAACATGGCAAACTCGAAATTTGATTGGTTAAAGAATATGACAATCAACAACAACGTTCGCATTTGCTTCAACAGCAGAGGAGATTCACTCGACATTCTGAAGGCCTCAGGGTACATTTTTCACCCGGGGAGGTGGAGACAGCACAGGTGGAACATCTGATTGGATAAAAGCTCAAATTTAACACATTCCTGCGGAGGGAGCTGGTAGAAACGTTGGGTTGCTCGGTCAATGGCCAGGGTCACCGGCGGCGTGGTCTATTCCGCAAATATGCCCGACTGTGAGGGCGTGCACAAGCCGGCGTGAGTAGGTTAAACGTTGAGTTTTATAAGGGCACCACGGGGTGACCAGCCTCTCCCCACCCAGCCCCACCCCTCCCTCCCTCCCCACCCAGCCCCTCCCCTTCCCACCCAGCCCCTCCCTCCCCACCCAGCCCCTCCCTGCACGACGGACGGACACAATAATCCCCTGAGTGCGGATAAGAGGCGTGCAAACGGAGACTCTCAGAAGCAGTTCAACGGTAGCAACTTCCGGAGGCCAAATCCGATCGCACAGTGGTCCTGCGTATCGGCATTGTTTGGACGATTTTGTGCGAACCGAATTGGGCTATAACCGTGCCCATTATTTAATCGTTTGCGAGGTCTGATGGATGTTTGCGCGTGGACGGTTAGAGCCTGTTCACAAACCTGCTCTGGTCTCTTTATTCCGTAAGTGCCTTTGTCAGTTACATTTCCCTACCTGTTGTAACGTCATTAAATAATTATGCGAGCCCCTTAGGTGGACGAAGGACTATCCGTGCCGTACCAGGCATGCGGGAGGTTTATTGAACCATGGTTCTTTCGGTAAAGTCACGTATAAATAAAATAAAATAAATAATGAAATACGACGTTTCGATTGCAACACAAGCAACCGTCATCAGGTAGAACTAAATTTGAGAGAGAGAGAGAGAAAACACAGACACGGAGACACACAGCCAGACACACAAGCAGACAGAGACAACACAGAGACACGCAACATACTGTCTGCGTTTCAAATGAAGCCCAGTTACGATTGAGCTGTCACTCGTTCTGTGATGTTAGCCATTCCCAAGGAATCGAACTCAGGTTGCCGGGTTCGTAGTGCAGTGTTCGCCAAGCGCTGCGCCACCGCTACCGTGCCTGTTGTACGCACCGTTTGTATGTTGAACTTATTTCGCACCCTAGCTAGCCAACCGTGCGGCGGGGAGGACAACATCTGTATTTGCGTGAGTTTCACGTGTTGCCCATTAGCCTGTTGGTTGACCGCACGGGCCGTGCCCTTTATTGTCCCCGAGTGTGCCCAGCACGGCTTTACGGGGGGCACTAAAACATTATTAGCGACGTGCGGCCGGTAATGACTGCGCACTTGAGGCTTTTTTTCAGCGACTCGTGGTGAAAACCACTCAAGGAGCTGTGGCTGACTTGTTGCTCCATTCAAAACAAAGATAACTCACGGGTCACCTGCACTCGCTCGCCCGAATGTTCACCTCTCACGCCTTCCGATGGCTCGCTTGGAATGGCGACAAACAAAAAAACTTTCACAGCAATTAAGGGCACCGCTTGAGTTTCTAAAGTCAAAGTGATTTCCCGCTCATATGAGCCCTGAGCCAGAGGTCGTGAAAAAGTCACCATCCTATGGTGGCGAGAGGCGAGTCTCTTCGTAAGGGCAACCACTGTTAACTTCCCCACGAAGCGGTAGCAATTTTATCGACCCCATATGGATGATGGGCTGAGTCAACCCCATGCCCCCAACCATAGATTTGAATTGGCAACTTTCCAATTACGAGCCTCTTACTATTGCCGCTGAGAATGAAGTAATTAAACCGCTCAGGTTCTCTAATCCAAGTGTTTATAAAGCGCTGCAATTACGAACTGTGATGCAATTTGATGGAATCTGGCGATGAAATCTGTGGTGGGATTCGCTTTTTCTTTCCCGGCCCTCCCGCGCCCGCTCGACCCACGGATATTAGCCGCGCTCACAAAAAAAATCCGCGGTGCCGTGGAAAGTTTTTTTTAACCCTCTCGCTCTCGTTTCTGTTTGCGTCTGGAACGATGACAACGGTCGAGCTCGCGTACAATTTCTCTTCGACAAAAGGAACGCGTCTCAAAGAAAACCCAACAATGACATCGAGAGACAGAGGGCGGGCAGCAAATCGCCCCGGTGGCGAGATGTTAACTACCTCGCCTGGTGTACAGGAGGTCGTGGGTTCGATCTCTGACCCTGGCGCCTGTATACTTGAAGTTTGCATGTTCCTCTCTCTCCCCCTGGTCGCGTAGATTTTTCTCCGGGTTCTCTGGTTTTTCCCTCCACGTTTAGAGAATCAACGTGCGTTTGGAGTATTTGGCTGCTATAATTTTCTTTTCCACACAATGATAAGCAACTTCGTTGAGCGATCATTCATCGCTAGCTCGGTCGCTTCTGAAAAACAGGTCAGTGGGTCTTAACTGGTCGTATAAAAAGTTTTTTTTTAATAAAAACAAAAAGGTGGAGACGAGCAGCTTTGAGCGCGTTCGCAATTCATGATAATAATTACCTGTTTACCCAGGAAAACCTACACTATGTCCAACGGATTTTTTTCAGGAGGGTGCTGCTACATTGTCATATTGGCTATCACCGGTGGCACTTGTGGTTTGTGTGGTTTTTTTTTGCTTTCGGAGAAGATAAAAAAAATGGAAGAACCCAAAGCAAAACCCATGCAAGAGCGGGGGGAGAAAACATACAAACTCCACACAGAGAGTCGAACCCAGGTACTGTGAGGTATTCAGATTATTTTGGTGCTACAAATGTTCAAATGATGGACCACTTTGTTGAGCTATCATTTATGGCCAAGTCGCTTCTGAAAAGTTAATACCTCAGTGGGCTTTGCCTGGTAGGATGGGGATGGTTGAGTTTTGTTTGTACGTGTTTAATTTTCTTGTACTTTTTACTACTATCATGCGTTTGTATTCTTTGTTGTTGTAACGTTTTGACCCGCCCCTGAAAAATAGATTTATAGTGCATCGGATTCCTCCTGCATTATAAATAAATGTTCCGATTCTGAGCGTTACCATCCTGCCTCCGCAAAGCCGAGCTTGATAACGACAAGCAACATACCCCAAATGTGCCGAGAGAAGGACACTTAGAAAAAAAAAAACGAGTGAATGACGAAACATCAGAAACACCCCAGGTCATTAACCGAAACAAAAAAATATGAACGAAACTGAAAAGCGTCTAAAGAAGCTTGGAGGGGAATTACTTCGCGGCAGAGAAAGATAATCGCATGGGTTGAGAGAGACGCACACGGGGCAGAGACGCATACACGGACGGCGATCGAAGACACGGGGGGACCGCGATTGCAGTTTCACCGCCTGCGCACTCTGGCGAGCGACGCCGCCGTCTCACCTGCTCCTTGCTGGCGGAGATCGGCTCCTTGAGCACGATCCAGGTGACGCTCTCGAAGAGGGGCGGGGTGGTGAGCGAGCCCAGGTAGGTCCAGAAGTCCAGTGACTTGGGCAGGAGAACCGAGGGGTCATAGTCGAGGAAGTCCACCTTGGCTCCCTGAGAGCATGGCGCACGTACAACACACGCAAAAAAAGATAAAAATTAATCCGTAAAAAAAAAATTTTTTCACTATAAATCCTTTATATGCGTGTTCAATGGGCCACAACCCAGCCCACATTGGTCTTTGAAACGGGCGGCTAGAGTCCTCTCGTCCTCTGGCTTGAGATGGCTGCCACCTATGGGTCAGATGATTGCCTGCCACCATTAAGCAATTGGTAATTAAATATAATTTTTTTTCCTAAAAAGTGTAACATTTTGGAACATTTTTTTCACGAAAATAAATTGTCACGCACAACGAGTCTGTGTGCAAAATGTCAGCTCGATTGGATCACGGGAAGTGGGTTAAAAAACGACCGAAAGATTTGCACGGTCGTAAGCGCGCAAGCAAGCAAGCAAGTGAACTTAATATAAAGGATTTAAAAAAGATCCCCCATATAGCCTTAACAGACTGTAGGGGCAAACGCTGTTAGCGAGCACCTATGAAGGCCGGAACGGTACACGAGGGGGTGGGTGGCCAGCACCACGCCCGACCGCCTTTGTCTCCCTATTGGCGATGTTTACACACCGCATCAGGTACTCATTTGAGGCTGAGTCGACCTAGGGGAGGCCCAGGACCGGTCCAGATAATCGTCACTGGTGTCGGTGGCTGTGAGCGGGAATCGAACTCGGGTCGTCATGTTAGAAGTGCAGCTTAGCGCGAACCGCTAAACTACAACTCCCCACAACATAACACACACCTAACACAACGCACGCACACACACATAACACACACATATAACATACATGCAACACACGCACATACAACACGTCACTTCAGCCAATGTCATTTGCCCCGCAGGAGTTTGTGAGTTTACGTTCAAGTGGTTTCGATGGCCTTGCAGTCAGGATTGCTTAAATGGTTGTGCGAGTGTGTGCGCTGTGTGTCCGTCTGCGGGGAGCAGTAGCAAAGTCGATCGAGGTTAAGTGTGCTCATTGGAGTTGGAGGCAGAGGTCGCAATCGGGTACCCGATACCCGTATCTTACCCGATACCCGGCTACCTGTACCCGGCCAGGTAAGGGTACCCGTTTACGACCCTGGTGCGGCCGGGTATGGGTACGGGTAAGGAATCAAAACCCGTTTGCGACCTCTGGATGGAGGCCCTTCCACCAGCAGTTACGTGAGCAAGCAATTGCAGGGCTGTGCCTCTATCTTTGCTCGAGGCGGCCGAACCCCAGTGGTGACAGGGGAGAGCTAGGAGAGTGCATGGATAGGGGAGTGGAGACCATGTGTGTTGGCGGTGTTGCAGCGAGGCCGCTTGAACCGTCGCACCGACGATGGATCCCGAGATTCGTGGTCACTCGCCTTGCTCCTGATGATGTTCAGAGTGTCCGTGACCTTCTTCAGACCAGGGTTCTCCGCCCCCGCCTAGTCCACCAATCACAGAAGAAGGCGAGCGAGAACGCAAATGCTCGAGTTAGCAATGCACTTGGGAACGACGCGCAAGCATCTTCTTGGTTCTTTCGGTAAAGTCACGTAGAAGGGAATTAATAAAATAATAAAAATAAAACATAAATAACAACATGGACTTGCTTCGGCTACAACGCAAGCAGCCGTCTTCACCGGCTGCTTGCGTTGTAGCCGAAACGTCGTGGGAATTATTTTATTTTATTATGTTTTATTTTTATTATTTTATTACTTCCCTTCTACGTGACTTTACCGAAAGAACCAAGAAGATGAATCCCTGCAGTCACGAAAGCTTTAAATCGAAATTTGACGCGCAAGCACGTATCTTTCCCAAATTGTATTACGAGTTATGAAAGAAGGTTTCATCTTCAACAGCAGCCACAGTGGGTACCGCAGACGACTTTGCTGGCGGGATGAGTGTCAAAGGTCAAACGATTTGTATTTTTTTTAAATAATGGGCATGGGCTTTAATATATATATATTTTTTTACAAATGAGCAGGAATTTCGGCGGACGTGAGAAAATATTTGAACGACATCAGGGGGTGGAGAGTGGAGGAATGAAGGACAACAACATGGACTTGCGGCGTGGTGGACACGGGCTGCTGGTACATCACCTGGCCCGGCTCGTTGTGGATTTCAAAGCTGTGCGTTCTCTTCTTGCGCACGATGGCAGCGGAAATATGTTCAGGAGCTAAATGGCAATGCCGATGATGTCGAGGAAGGTGCATGCATGATGAGGAAATGGGGGATGTTGACGTTGATGACCAGTGCCAGATTATCCTAGTTGCAAAAGTAGCTACATGTGTAGTAGCTGCTACATATGTAGCTACTACTAGCTACTACTACATATGTAGTAGCTACGGGCCCCGCACTTTCAAGGGCCCCGCGCTAAATGCTTTCAAGCTATCAATTCCGGTTCAGTGATTCCGTACTTGCTCTATTACTATAGTACTATACTGCCTTCAACGTTTATGAACGACTGGATGTTTAAGGTTAGCGATTTGTCGTATTATCCAACTGTATAGCAAATGAAAAAATCCAATTACTTCGCCACTAGGGAGACAAAGGCGGCCGGGCGTGGTGTTGGCCACCCACCCTCTCGTGTGCCGTGCCGGCCTTTATAGGTGCTCGCTAACAGCACTTGCCCCTACAGTCTGGTCAGGCTATACGGGGGATCTTTGCCTTTGTGAGTGTGTTATGTGTTATATGTGTTATATGTGTGTGTGTGTGTTATGTGTTTTACGCGGGGAGCGGTAGTGTAGTGGTTAGCGCGCTGCGCTATGAACCGGGCGACCCGGGTTCGATTCCCGCTCACGGCCAACACCGGTGACGATTATCTGAACCGGTCCTGGGCCTCCCCTAGGTCGACTCAGCCTCAAATGAGTACCTGGTACAATGTGTAAACATCGCCACTAGGGAGACAAAGGCGGTCGGGCGTGGTGCTGGCCATACGGGGTGGGGGGGGTCTCTATACGGGGGGTCTTTGTCTTTGATAGTGATAGTGGTGGTGATGTTGGTGCTGCGGCCGTCTGGAGAGAAGTTCTCCACACAAGGGAACTCACCTCGAGGAAGACGCCCAGAACGGCGAGGCCGTCGCTCTTGTTGGCCGCCTCGGCGAAGCTTTTGTACTTGGCCGAGTTCCAGTGCACGAGGTGCAGCTTTGCAGCGGGCACAACAGCAGGGGCGGCATACAATAATGTCATTTATTATTGCGATAATTATTATAGTATTATTAAAAAAATATATATTATCGTTTTTATATTATAATTTTTATATTATTTGATATTAGAATTTGTCATCTAATTTTTATATTATGTTTATACAGTATTATCATTTTTATATTATCATTTTATTAGATTTTTATATGATCATTTTCATATATTTTTAAATTATATTATTTTTCAATATTATTATCATTTTAATATTATTAATAATATATTATACAATTTAGATATTATCATTTTTTATTTTCATATTCGAATTTTTATATAAGTAGAATTTTAAAATAATTTTTTAGATTGTTTCAATTTTTATATTGTTTTTATGTTTTTGGCATGCGAAGGATGATCGAATGTGAACAAAGCGTCACTCGAGATTCTCGTTGTCTCCAGAGCAGTGGTTCTCAACCTTGTTTGGCTACGACCTTACCTCCTCCCCCCCCCCCCTTGTTGAATTTTATTTCAACCAAACACCCCCCCCCCCCACGCCCTCCTTGCCTGACCCAACATCATTCCCGTAAATAAATGTGTGAATAATGAACGTCAATATTATTTTTGCCAATTGTCAATTTTGCGAGGCATATCCCTAACTAGCTCAGTAAACTGCAAGCGAATGAAAAAAATGCGCGTCACGTAATTTGTTCACGCTGCCTGGTGACTCTTTGTTTACGATCGATGACTTTAGAAATGCCTTTTATAACATTCTAAGTTATCGCGTGGAGTTCAATTTCACCGTAGTTATTTTACATTGGCAGATTCACACGACGCGATTATTCACCGACGACTCGCGCGCGTATGAGATAATTCCACACATTTATAAATCACCCCACGTACTTCCCCCCCCCGCCGCCCCCCTGGGACATTGCCACGCGTACCCCCACGGGGGGTCCGCCTACCCCCTGTTGACAACCACAGGTACCCGAGGGGGTGACTAACACCCCCCCCCCCCACGACACAATTAAGCGCCCGTGTTTATCGAAGTTCTTTTGAGCAAAACACAACGGAGGGCGAGAAGTCCAGCAGCGGCAGGGGGACGCACGCGCGCGCGCCCGTGACCCCTGACCTCCGCGGAGTACGTCTTGCCGGCCACGGTATGCTCAGAGCCGCTGCCGTCCACAGCCCCCCAGTGGAAGTGGAACTGCTTCAGCTTGTACGGGTTGGGCAGGGGCCCCCCACTCAGCACTGCAAAGACAAAGACAAAGATCCCCCCACGTGCCGTTAGCGAGTTGGCGCCTGCGAAGGCCGGCACGGCAAGCAACACCACGCCCGGCCGCCTTTGTCTCCCCCGGCAGTGGCGACGTTTACCCACCGCAGCCAGGCACTCATTTTGAGGCTGAGTCGACCTAGGTGAGGCCCGGGACTGGTTCGAATAAATCGCCGTTGACCCCCCCCCCACCCCCGCCCGATCGCTCGGCCACGTACCGCACTTCTCGCCGGAGTCGTCGTACTCCACGGAGAATGAGTGGCCGTTGTTGCCCATGCTGAGGGCGGACGCGGGGTCGTAGATCACCGCCAGGGGCTTGAGGGTGGCGTCGTACGTCGCCTTGCCCGGCTGGATGTCGATGGGCGACTGCCGCTCCCCCTTGGCGATCTGGAAGTCCTTGTGCCACTCGGCGGGGCCTGCGCGCGGGGCGAAACATCGCGGAGGGTTGGCGGATCGCGCGTTCGCGCGAGCGTCTCGCGAAAGACTCCCCTCCCGCTGGGGGATGTCGAGGAGGCGCCGCCGTACGTTGGGAAGAAGGCGGCGGGCATGTTTGGCTACGGACGGTGCGAAAGAAGTTCGTCGTGCGTGTGTGCGACTGGACGGGGATCGAAAGAGCGTCGCCCTCCCGCACAGCGAGGGGTCTTTTCCGCGCGCGGCCGGGTTCCACCCACTTGCAATTGGCCGATAACGCGTTTGTATATGTAGAGGACGGAAGAGCATGGGCAATCGTTGGAGCTACCTCTATGGAGTAAACAATTTATTTTATTGTACCAGGTAAGGCCCCGTTGAGCTACATAGCTCTTTTTCAGAAGCTACCTGGCCATCACAAATGACAGCTCAACAAAGTGGCTTGTCACGTGGTCATTGATAGCAGCAGCCAAATGCTCTGAACGCGTGACGCTGATTCTAAATGTGGAGGAGAAAACACCGGAGGACCCGGAGAAAAATCCACGCGACCACGGGGAGAGAGAGAGACACGCAAACTCCAAATATACAGCAGCAGGCGTCAGGGTCGGAATCGAATCCACGACCTCCTGTAGACCAGGCGAGGTAGTTAACATCTCACCACCTGGTTACCGTCGCGTGTGTCTATGGCTCCTCCCCATGCCTCTGAGTCACTTTCTTCGTTCCATAAAACACATTCCTGCGGAGGGAGCTGGTAGGAACGTTGGGTTGCTCGGTCAATGACCAGGGTCAACGGTGGCGTGAGGGCGGGCACAAGCCGGCGTGAGTAGGTTAAACGTTGAGTTTTATAAGGGCACCAGGGGGTGACCAGCCCCTCCCCACCCAGCCCCACCCTCCCCACCCTGCACGACGGAGGGACGGACACAATAATCCCCTGTGGGCTGGTGTAACCAGGAGGTTCCTACCAGTAATAAATGTAACAGAGAGACCAACACGGCTCTTGACCAACACGGTATGGAGGTGGACCCTTCATCCAGCAGTGGATTGATGAAGGGCTGTAAATGTTGCGAAGTTCATCGTGAAGTGTGGCGGCAGATTCAGCGGCTCGGAAGGTTACGAGATCAAACCCTGGTTGAAGGAGGCGGGGGGGGGTTGCGGGTTGACTCAGCCCATCATCTCCCTTGTCGGTAAAATTGATACCACTTTGTGGGGAAGTCAACATGGATAGACTTGTCTCTGCCATAGTAATGTGGGATGTCGACCGCTGGCCCATGGCGCTGTAGACAAGCGACGAACCCCCCCCCCCCCCTGCCTCGATGCTCATTTGAGAAGCAAACCTCTTTTTTTGTTTGGCTAACTCCAGCGAAATGGGAGGGTGAAAAAAATTGGGTCACTCCGCTACCCCTCCCGGCGTCACATGGGCATTGGTGCCATCTCTCTCTCCCCGCAGCAGTAGCAGCAGCAGGCGGTGCGCCCTCATTACGGTCCGTGACATTGCCTACCAACACGTGGGCATCAACTGAAATCACTAAAAGCCCCCCCCCCCCCCATCTGCCACCGCAGTACCAAGCACACTCACTATTGAGGTCAAATTTGAATGATGCCGTCGAGCAAAGGCGGCGTGTCGCCGCATCGCTCGCGCTTTTCAGGTTCACGGTCCATTCGCCTTACCCACGCCCAGATTCCGTACGTCCCTGCACCTCTTCCTCCTGCTTCTCCTCCTCCTCCGCTGCTGCTGCCGATGCTGCCTCTGCTGCCTCTGACTGCGATTCTCTACATCTCCAAGACGCGAGTGAATGTGTCCTCTCAACCTTCACCGCACTGCGCATTTACTTTCAACTCGCAGCCTTCCCCACTCATCATCCAACTCCCCTCCGGAAAAAAATAAAATCACCCGGCCATGCAAATCCCGTCTCTCTCCCTCTCTCCCTCGCTAGCTCGCATCGTGCGCATCGAACCTCACGCCACCGATGAGATGGTTGGGGCGGCATGGCAGATACAGGACGTCATAATTTTCTCCGTGAAAATTATGACAGCACGGTTCGTTACGAGCACTCGGAGGTTGTGCAGTGGCAATGATTCGGACTGCGAGGCATAAGGCGGTAGGCTCCGAGTGAATGAATCGCGATTGGAGAACCTTCCAAAGCCATCGTCGTTTGTACTTCCACAGCAACCTCCGATGAGTACGGTGTAAAAGAAGTTCAACACACACATACAGGCATAGCACGGTTGGCTACGTACGGTGCGAAAGAAGTTCAACACACATGCATGCGTTCATACACGCTGCAAGTACTGTGCTGGACAGCAACGCACAACGAACACGTTTCTAAAACTGTGAAATGCGTTTAGAACGTGATGGCGAAACTGATATCACGATGATCGTCCAGATCGCGATACGTGATATCGGCTCGAGAAAAAGATGACATCGCGGTGAGCCGCGTCTCTCCAAAGGGGCTCGCGGCTGCGTGATGTTGGCTACCTCGCCTGGTGTGCAGGAGGTCGTGGGTTCGATCCCGACCCTGACGCCTGCTGCTGTATATTTGGAGTTTGCGAGTTTCGTGCTAAGTCACGAGTCATTTCCTGCTCAAATGAGTATTTTTTTAGCAAGACTTCGCACTGCTCTGCGAGATTTCTGATGGGATTCTTCATCTTGCGGGCGCCACGGTGGCTGGGAGATGTTAACTACCTCGCCTGGTATGCAGGAGGTCGTGGCTTCGATCCCAACCGTGACGCCTTTATATGTGGAGTTTGGATGTCCTCCCCGTACTGGGGTGGATTTTTCTCCGGGTCTTCCGGTTTTCCCCTCCACATTTAGAAACAACATCACGCGTTTACAGTATTCCGTTGCTAGACATTTCCCTGTGATAAGCCACTTCGTTGAGCAATCATTTGTGATTGCCAGGTCGCTGCTGGAAACGAGATTAATTATTAAGTTCAGTGTGGTCTTACCCGGTGAAATAAAAATGCTAGTTTCGTAAGAGTTTAGTTTATGGTTTGAATTGAGTGTCACAAAGTGGAACTAGTTTTATCAGCCCCGGAGGGATGCTGAGCTGAGTCGGCCCCCCAACCTGGATTAGAATTCACAACCTCCCCGATGTAGATTGAGGTCCGTGCCACCGCGCCTCCCGACTGAATCAAATCAAATTAAAACAACACTCAGACATGAACGATGTTGCCGCAGTGGTGGAATGGACAGCGCGTCGGAGTCGCTTCACCGGTTCGATCGCTCGGCGCGGCAGTTGCAAGAACGGTGCAATTTACTAAAACACCCCCCCTCCCCGCTCTGTCAACCCAGCAATGTAAATTAATTGGGAGGTTGGGTTTGGTGGGGTAAAGTGTGGATACGCCCAGCGCTTCAAAACTGTCTTTTTGTTGCGTGTGGAAGAGTAGGCCAAACACCCCACGCAGGGGACCCTCTCTCGACCTCGGCGCGAGTGAGCAAAGATTGCCATGGGGGGGGGGGGCACGCGGGGGGGGGGGGGCGCGCTGACACCTTGATCCGCGTCTCGGAATGCTACGGTATGCGCGGCCGCTGTCGCTCCGAAGCGCTTTTCTCAGCTCCGCTCCATCATCCCCCCCACCGCAGTCTTGCCTCGTTACGTATTGCGGTGGGTGGGGAGGATGGGGGGGGGGGGCACGCGGGGGGGGGGGGCTCGGGAATTGCGAACCCCCCCCCGCTCCCCGTGGGTTGACTGCGGCTGCGTTGCGTAACGCGGGGATTTGCATGCGGCGGGCGCTGTGCGGGTTGGGTCGGTGTTTCTCTTTTTCTCCGAACGCGTTGTGAGCAGCCGATCGCTCAGTTGCGGACGCCGAGATCCGGAATCGAGTGTCGGTAAAAACTAAAAACTAAAAATGGATTTTGGAGGCGCTTCCATAATCATCGATGCGGGGAAGGGACCCCATGGGTAGATCGATCAGCTACGGTTTTCGGTTCGATTCGGCGAGGCAGATGTGTTCGCGTCCATGGATTGAGCACGCAAGCGATGTGAAACATGGTTTTGGTAATGCCCGCCGCAGCCGCTGCGTCGGCGGTGTTGCATCAAAGCACAATTAAAGCAAAGACAAAGATCTTCCTCCTCTCCCGTATAGCCACGACAGACTGCTGGGGCAAGTGCTGTTAGCGCCTACGAAGGCCAGTGTTGTGGGTTTACTCTCCAACACGCCGGTGTTGCTGTACGAGTAACGACTTGGCATCTTCTGTAAACGCGACAAACCTTAACAAATCGGCTGTGTAGGGTGGTGGCGGGGTTAACGACATATTTATATTTACGCGATCTAACCCACACACAAAAAAAACTCCACCATGGATTATATTGGTCGCGAAAGCCGACTGCGACTACTCCGTATTCAACTGATTCCCAAACAACATGAGCCTCCTGGGGGACAATTTAGTTTTTATTTTATTTAAGTGAGATACTCTACGCGAATTGTGCAGATGAATCAAGGTTATCGCGAACAAAAAAAAAGATTGAAATTCAGCACTAATCCGGTAGTAATGAACACACACAGAGAGAGAGAGAGATGCTTTGGCATTCATCACCCACATTTCCAACAGGATTTATTCGAGGTGCGTGCAAGCCCTATCGCACTCCTGCTGCAGTGTTGTAACGAACCTATTATCACATTTTGGTACTGGCAAAGGAGGTCCCATGATGCGCTGCCACTTAAGAGTACAAGGTCCACTTACTCGCAACAATCGTCTTCTGCTATTGATCGTCATATTCCTATAATCCTATGAAAAGAATGGTGTTTGTTGTTGTTGTTGTTGTAATCTCCATATATACATATAATTGGCAAAGTTGTGAACATGTGTGTCTGTTCAACATGTTTAGCGTACTTCCCGACATGCAACAAACTGGAAATTTGCCATGTGGGTACTTTCCAGACTGTACACCATGCAAACATTATAAAAATACACTTTTTTTAGGGGAGGGGGGGGAGCTCAATAATGCATATATTTTTGCACAGCAATTGAGCTGTGACGTCAAATCTGTCACGTGACCCGCGCATG